AAAAAAAAAAAAAACATTAAAAAAAAATCTTTATCATTCCAAACTTTTGACCCGTACAGTATGTCTTTTGTTGTTGACATATGTGCCTTTAAAACCAGTTGACAACCACTGAACTTGAACTTCAGAACAAAAATAAGCTTGCAATATATAAACCTCGAATCTCAGAACAAGTCAAGATTTCACTTGCAGTTTTGCTGTTTTGTTTTTGTAGCTCAACTGGTAAAGCAAATAAATGTCATGGGTTTGATATCCAGGCATACAAGTTTGCAAAGGGTGGACTTTTTTTTTTTAAACTTTCCAAGATTTTTTTGGGAAACTTTTGCAAAATTATGGAAAATGTTGGAAATTTTCCAGCCCTTTGCATTGCTACATGCAAATGATCTAAAAACCTTTGCATTTGCCTAATAAGTAAATGTGAGTCTAGATGTAATGCTCTGTGTAAAGCTATCCAGCAGCTGCTGATTTACTGCTAGCGTGTGGTTCTGTCATGAGTTAGTTTAGCAGTCTTGTACCCACTCAAACCACTAACTGTGGGGCACATTGAGAGGTGGTACATGAGTTATCACGTCGTGCATGACGTTCCTTCGGTTTGGAGAAAGCTCCTCTCCTCTCACCACTGCAGGCCTTTGAACTGGTTTTGTGACATTTTGTTGCAAATCAGTTCAGGATCTCAGGTGGAAACGACTAGGAAATTCCCTTCAATTTTAAATCCACCTGCTTTCATGCACTTCAGCAGTTTACTAGTTCCAAAAAGACTAACATTATTTGGTAACACAAGCTGTCTATAGATAGCTGACATGAAATTTGTCCTGCAATGTGACATACTGTACTGCATCTTAAACTATTTTACATTTTGATATTGTACATTGTTTTATGTATTTCATGGTACCACTATACAATAAGGTTCATTTGTTAGCATTTGTATTAGTCAATATGAGCTATCAATGAAAAATCATTCTAAAGCATTTATATTTATTAAGTTAATGTTAATTTCAACATTTAGTAACACATTACTAAACTGAAAAGGTGTATCTGTTAACATTGTTTAATGGATTAAAGCTGACATGAACTAATATTTAAACAGTTGTTATTAATAACATTAATAACGTTAATGTTATCTATTTCATATTTATTTCGTAAATAAATTGTCAATTTTTAATATTTGTGCTTTTCAAATATTCATTTATAACACCGCAGGACCATTTAAGCAAACTTCAAATAAATAAATAAATAAATATATAAATAGCATATATTTTGTATGTATATATATTTTTATTTATTTATTTTTTTAAGTTAAAAGGTGATTAAAAATAGTGTAAACTACTAAAAAATATATGAATAACAAATACAAAAATACAACAACAACAACAACAACAACAAAAAGAATCACTGTAATTTTAGTTAATGCATTAACTAATGTTAACTAGTGGGACCTTGTAAAGTTACCTATTTTTTATTATTATTATTTTTTACATTTTTATTTATAAATGTTATATTAATTGTGAATATTTTTGCTTTAAAGTATTCATTTGTAACACTGACCATTTACGTGAACTGAAATAAACAAACAAATAAATAAATATTTTGAATTAATAACAATAATAAGAAAAGACAAAAGGTGATTTAAAAGATTGTGAAAACTAGGAGAATAAACATGTTTCCCTTTTATAAATCTATAAATGTTAACCTAATTAATGCCTGATTAATAAATACTGTAAGAAATGAATTGCTCATTGTTAGCTAATTTTACGTAATGCATGAACTAATGTTAACTAATGGGTAAAGTGCTATCTTTCATGTATATGTTTTTTTTTGTTTGTTTCCTTTAAATATTCATATGTGACACTGCAAGACCATTTACTGTAAGTGAACGTTTCCCTTCTATAAATCTATCAACTTGAACCTCAAATGTTGAGCCTATAAGTGCTTAAGGACATGTTATTTGCGAAGCACTCATGAACACATGCCAGGTCAAAGGTCACATACGGTAACTGATGAGAAGCGCTGATGATTGACGCAGGTATGCGTTTCCTGTGTAGTCGTCCTGAAGCGGTGCAGAGCACTTTCCTCTCTCTTCACTCCCCCGGCTTCCTCCCATCTCCAGCTCTCTGTCGCTCCCTGGATCCCTTGGCAGAGGGCTGTAATTGGCCACACAGTGCCGGCTCTCTCTTTGTTTCCCCTGCAGTGGCTTGCGGTGGAACTGCACAGGCAGCAGGGCCTCATAAATCTCCAGGCCTCCGGTGGCACATCCAGCCTTCAGCTCCGGTTCTGCTCAATGACTTCACCCCCACCAAAAATCCCCACCCAGGGACGCGCTCCAAAACTCTATACCTCCACTCGCCGCCTGCTCTTGCTTTAATGTTCTCTGCTTTCATGTGTTTTGCAAGGCATTCATTTAGAAGTTTGGAAAGGGACAGCCGCTACTTTTACTCCAGTGTGTGCAGAAGCGCTGTAGTTGTCTGTGTCTTTTTCAGCTAATATAACACTGAGTACAATGCATTTGACAGTCATTTACACACACAGTTAGGGGCTATATATTTACTCTTTTATAACTTACATTAAATTGGCCTTTCTAAGGCAAATGAACGAAAAACAATAGCATTTTTTTCACTTTTTATTTTTATTTCATTTGCGCATAAAGATTGTTTATGAAGTATGTCAATTTTAAAATGTGTATGTTTTTTAAGTCTTTGATCCTATATAAGAAAATCTGTTAAAATCGGGTATTTATTTATTAGCTATCAAATCTCAGACATAGTTTTAATAAGCTTGGCCCATTTTTAATCTTTTTATTTTTCTTCATTTTTAAAATTCAATTTATTTGAACATTTTTACCAATTTTAACATATGTTTGTTTTAGGACTAAGTCTTTAATCCTATATAAGAAAATCTGTTATTTATTTATTTTTAAGCTTTTAAATCTTATTTTTTCACAAAGGCATTTTTAAGGGACATTTCATGCCAAAATAGTTCATTTAACAATTGTACTTTTTTCTTTATATATATATATATATATATATATATATTAAGCATTATGTAATATTTACATTCTATATATAATATAACATATCAGTGATTTA